CCCCCCTCCCCCAGCCCTGCTGGTGCCCCTTGCCCACCATGGCCCTCCCTGTCCAGCTGGAGCAGGCCCCCAGTTGCCAAGGCTATGGGGCCAGGGACGCAGGTCTGCAGCCTCCTGCCCCCCGCAGCAGTGCCTAAGCCCCAGCTGCTGCCTGCAGGAGGTGGCAGCTGCTGTGGCCCAAGCATGGAGCCCAGGTCCCCCTCCCCCGTGGGTGGCATAGCTGGAGCAGAGCTCCCTGCCGCTGCACGCACTCCCAGGTGACAGGGGGGCATGTGCCCCCCAGAACTGTGTGGGGTGGGTACGGGCTGGCTGTTGTAGGCTTGGGCTCCCCGCCCTGCTGCACTCCGCCCAGGGCCTCCACAGCCCGGTGAGCATGGCAGGGCAGAGCAGGGCTGGGTGGGGAAGCTCCTTGCTGCCACAGGCCCTGCACCATGGTGGCAAAGCGCCCTCAGCCTGCCCGGCTGTAGTGGGGGTGGTGGCATAGAGTTGCAACCCTTGCTGCTGCTGGGCAGGCAGGGGGTGCTTTGCTAGGGTGGCGTGGGGCTCACAGTGGCGGCAACGAGCTTCCCCACCCAGCCCCGCTCTGCCCTGCCATGCTGGGTCCCAGTTGTTGTGTTGCGAGGGGCATTAGGGCAGGATGCCTGAGCCTGCAGTGGGCAGCCCACACCATGCACAGATCTGGGGGGTATGTGCCCCCCTGTGCCCCTGGGAGTGCGTGCAGTGGCAGGGAGCCAGCCTCCTGCCACCCCTGGGACAAGCCACCCATGGCTCTGTCCCACTCCCCACCAGGGCCCTGCAACCACGCATTGCAACCTGGAGCCCCAAGCCCCACACACTGCCCAGCTGGGCAGCATCCCACCCCCAGCCCTGCCTAACTCCCTCCCTCCCTGTGGGGGCTCAATTCCCTCCACTCCCCAACTTATCTGCTGGAGCTGCTCTCCAGGCTGCCTGGTGGTCATGTGCGTGTACATGTACATGTTACCCCCTGCCTGATTGTCCTCCCCCTGCTCCCCCAGCCCCTTGCAGGCTAGAACTCTGCCAGCCTGCAGAGAGCTCTTCGCAAAACAGAAAAATCTGTGTTTCTCTGTTCAAATGAAAAACCCACATTTTTCTCAGGTAAAAGAGAAAATCCATATTTTTTTCTGTTTCCCATGGGAAATGGAAAACCCAGATCCCTGGTTATAAGCATGTGTTATAGTTTCAAACATCAGAACAGTTTCAGGCAGCATAAAAACAGATACGAAATTAAGAGCGTCTTGTGCAACTCCACTGGCTACACAGATGCTTCTCATTTGAGATGATATAACCTATGATATTTGCAATTAGCCTAATATGGTACTAAATGGATTCCAACCACTGCTTCTCTCGCCTGGAACATTCTCTAATGGAGATTTAAAAAAAAATTACATTCTATTAGATGTAATTGCCCTAACCAGGCGCTGCACATGACTAAGGGTGTACCAAGCTAATACTGTACATCAGAGCCACAATTATGCTACAGAGCACAGTATTTCCTCCAAGTTTAAAATCCCACAACCTGATGATTAGCTCACAAGACAAGACATATGGGTAAAAACAGAACACAAGAGACATTTGTGGTTAGGGAAGCATACTAGGTACTCAGGAGATCTGGGTTCAATTCCCAGCTATGCTATAAGTTTCCTGTGTGACCTCAGTCAAATAGCTGCAATGGAAGTTGGAGGGGGTAAAGCACCTCTGGAAACTCACTTGCTTACTGAGGATGAATTAACTCGTGACTGGAAGTGATTAGATAAAGCATGGGAACATCCAGAGTGACTTTTGGGGATGGTACAAACAAAGACCCTCTTGCAGGAACGGTTTTGTGAAGTATGTTATTTAGCAACAAGAGAGGTTTGTTAGAGTGAAAAGGTCAGTGGGATGAACGCAGATAAAATTGTAACAAGTGTATCTCACACATTTGGGCAATATTACAATTCAGCGATACAAAGCAAAAATCTTGGGGTCTACTCCCAGTTGGATGGGAGACTCACTACAATATTCTGGGTAGGCTGGAATCTTTCCTCCCTCAATTTTCCCCTAATAATCTATAAATGAGAGACCTGTCTACTTCCTATGATTGTTTCTAATGCACTTTGGGATCTGCAGGGGGAAGAGGCCATGGAAGAGTCACAGGGAAGATCCTCAGCTCATATGAACCACAACCGCTTCACTGAAGTCAACGGAGCTAGGATTACTCAACACCAGCTCAAGATATGCCTCCAAATATTCGTGTACAAACTCACCAAGTCCTGCATCTCCTGGGATTACCCAATCACCAGGCCTCAAAGAAGTCACATGACTGCCAACTTCTATTACTTCTCCAACACCTTCATTTCCTCCTACTGCAGGCAAGTCAGACAGAAGGGCATAAGTCCCTGGAAGAGAAGCCAAATCATGATAAACATATTACACCAAAAGGCATAATGAACAACAGGCATCTCTTAACTTCTGTTCTGTATGAGTTCAGACCTACACCATAGTAACACTGAGAAGCAGGCCTAAATCTTTCACAAAAACCTACAGGGAACGTCATTAAAATTCTTACAGTCTGTTTGCGTAATTGCTCATTTGACAGCATGTTGCTAGTCAGCAGGAATTCCTCACACAGGAATGGAAGCAAAGCCAACTTTTTGCTTATAAACTCTGAAATCACAGAAACCATAGTTACCTTGGATCATGTTGATGTCTGATGGATTGATGGGGGCAGCTAGCATTTTAACGTGGACCTCAGAACCACCTAGTTCTCCAAGCTCTAGGTCCTTTAACCTAAACAGAGAAAGGCTAATATTAATGAACTCGGGCCGCAGTCTGTCCAGGAGCTGGAGTAGGGCAGAGCACTTTGCAGGCAGGCATGCGGCCCTGCTCCCGCTGACTTGTGAGCGTGCTGGCAAGAGAGGCAGGGGAGCAGTGCAGTGTCCTGGATGATATCCTGGATTTCTGGGATTTCTACATGATCAGCCTATCACTGAATGACTAGCACTTGTGCCAATACCCCAACAAAAAGAATACAGCAGTTCACACTGCCCAGAGCTTGTGCTGCCAAATACCTGAATTTTTTTTTTTTTTTTTTTTTAAAAGAAAAAGGTAAATTGCAAACTTTGGCCTTGACTACACAGGAATGATTTTCAGTATTTATCTAATGGAAACTTAAACCAGGATGATTTCACTAGAACAACCCTGGAATAAGAGCAGGCGTGTCCAATTATCCGATTTAGTTTGCTGAGTACATGCTAAACCTAAGAAGAGCTCTTTCATCCTATAATTAATGACCACATGGAGGGTTACACTGGTATAACTGGTAAAACTTTTCCATAAACTTAGAGTCAGCAGCCAAAAAATTGTGTATTATGGGGGACCCAGCAACTTTAGACCTCTATACTCCATAGTTCTGTACAAGTATGGTGTAAAAAGATGACACCAGTGGAGGTGCAAGACAGGTTAGATATACATGGGAAAGCTATGCCAGACAGCAGGAGCAGTAAAGATAATTCTTCTGCCACCAGTTTTGAGATTGCAGCAATAATAGCAGTCCTGTGCTTGGTTAGTGGAAGGAGATGGGTAAGCTGGAGTGAGTCCAGAAAGCATTTTAATAATTACAGCAATTATTAACTACATGTGAACAGACTTGAGAAGCTGTGGCTCTGAAGAAGATGGCAATGAGAAGCTTGCACTTGGCTGCCAATTTTAGGAGCGTGGTTATTTAGCTGTGATTTCATCCTGTTTGGTGCATATCACTAGGAACTATATAAATGTATTTTTTTTCCTGTGCTGGCTAAATGTCCCCCCCGCCTCTCCCCCTGTAAGTTGCATGGCTGATTTCTACATCAATCTAAGTTTTGAATTAAATAGCACAATGTACTTGTCAGAAGGCTTTTAACACTTCAGAATTTGCATGCTGAAGACCTTAAGCTGCACTGAAATTCTAAGGAGGTCACAAGTGAAACTGCATGAATGTGCAGGCCTTTTGTCAGTGGTAGCCTGGGCTCCAACACAACCAAGTTTAAATGGATGCTTGCAAACTCTGAATCAATGGGACTTAGATATGTGCTTAAAAACTTTGCTGATTGGGGCCGCTGTCCTTCGGCTTTGAAGCCATTTCATCACATGCCAAAGCCATTAAACAGTGGGCCAAATCCACCTTTGGTGCAACTCCCTGCACATCAGGGAGGATTGTGTATAAATTCTGCAATGTGCAGCAGGCTCTACAGAACAGGGCTGCATTAGAACAGACTTTGGTCCCTGAAGGCAAAGGCCAGGATTTTTAAAGCTACGCAAGCTCAGGAGACAAATCGAGTAGACTCCTCTCTAGCTTTTGCTGCTATTCCTCCATTATCTTGGCTCAAGCTTGTCTGAGAGGCACAGGCTGAAAGGCTCAAGGATTTACCTGAAAAAGATGAGTATTTTATATCTCTCGCTGGGTGTCAGATATGCAACAGTTTAGCTCAACACTATGCTGACCCAGATGTCCCAAATAAGAATGATGTAACCTGCTGAGCATCTTACTCCTTTACAGAGTTGCCATTTTTGGATTTTTAAACCAGAAAGACAAACTTGTAAGTAAAGCTGGAGTTAGGAAGGGGATGCCCCAGGTTGGAAGATGACGCTGCTCAGAATTGAAGAGCTGCGTAAGGAAGCCTTGCACAGCCATCAGTCACAAGGATGGTCATCATTCCCAGAGTAACACCATGATTATATTAATGCACAAACTAAGACATTTACCTGAGGATTGCAATTCTGCAATACCTAGCAGTGGAGTAGGGACAGCATTGAATTTCCTGGCTTTTATTGGTTTCAGCTAGACCTGTACGCTTGTCCTTGCAAAGGGAGTTTTAGACAAGGTGGCTGGAAGGTTACATTAAGAGTGTTCTCTGTATGTTTAATGCCTGTATAAAGTGAGCACAAGCAGTTGTTGCGGAGCATGCTGGCTAGAATTACTGGAATTAAGTTTGGTTTGGTATGGAGCTATTTCAAGAGAATTGTGAAGGTTTCTCCATGGAAACTATAATGACTCTATTCACAGCTTTAAGATCCCAACGGTTTAAATCAACAGATCATGGACACAATCGCTCATTTAAAGCCATTACTGTCAATAGGAATCTGTGTGTGCACGGTAAGTACACATATCAAAGTCCTTATAGATGGAGTAGCTGGAGTTTTGTGCAGCACCGTGCTAAACTCAGAGGGGGTTTTATTGCTCGACTCTGCTGGGAATTCTCTCGCATCTGTTTCGAGCTAATCAGTACACAGTAGCTACCACCCATGTGGGAGGCTGTGCACGGCTGTTATGGTGCAGTCCCTACAGGAGTGTGCAGCAGTTTCTACATGATACAGTTTACCTTGTTAGAGGAAAACAGTTCCAGTTTCCTCAACCTCCTGCAGCTGCTTGAGTTCCCTTTTCCTCATTACATAGAGATGCTAAATGATCTTTCCAGGGAGGGGCTTATTGTATTTATGATCAGTCTTCCCTTGAGCACCCAAAACTCTCACTGAAGTCAATGGGAGTCCTGAGACCTTCCATTAACACGGGCATATTTAATTCAGTAAGGACCCTGGGGGGAATGGGTTCATGGCACAGAGCAGCAGTTCACTTTTACCCAACTATTTCTGCAATGCTTTAGATTAAGGATAATGCTTTTCCAGCAGAAAAAGCAGCCAGCTTTT